TTTATGGCTGATGACACTAGTAACTTCTAATGAGGCAACTCTTCCAAAGATAAAGCTATCTAAAGGCCTCAAGATAACTAAAGAGTTAAACATTTCCTGGAGTACTGAATCACATTTAAGTATAGTAACTTAATCCTGGTAATTTCATTCTATTACTTTTCCACCAAAGTTTCTTTAGCAACCAGAAGGAAGTTTAAATAATAGTCTTCTAACTTGGTAGCTTATACAACATTAACATATTTCAAGTGCTAATTGAAAGTAGCTACACTTTAATGTGTATTATTCAGACTAAGACCAATTTAATGCAAATTTTGCATAGTGCAGCAGGGCCGTCGCGTGGGTGGGGCGACCGGGGCGCCGCGGTCAGGGGGGCGCTGCAGGTGCTACGGCAAAGGTAATACAACATAATTTAAAAAATACCCCCGCCGCAGCAAACCTGCAGACTAAGCGAATTTCCATTTGCCTGATTGGATTTACACTAAAATGACTCCTTAAAATATCACATTTATCCCTATTTAAATAGAATCAGTTTAACACATACTTAGGTTTGCTGCAACAGGGAGGGTAATAGTTATTTGTGCAACTAGTGAGAAAAGTGAGCAATTGACTCACTCGAGAGAAATCCTTACTCATGAGCCGTAGGCGAGTGAGGAATGGTTTCTCGAGTGAGGCAATTGTACTTTGAACTAACTCGAGTTGCACATTATACTTTTCCTACAGTTACCATAAAACAAATAAATTTGTGAAGAAACATTTAACCTATTTTTACACAGAAGTGAACTTTTAATATAACATTTAATGTGAAGTGACAAATACAACAGTACAACAGCTGACCAGCTGATTTACAGCCAGTGCTGCCAACGTATTTCGCGCACATACGACGTTGCCTGCATGTTACGCGCTCACTATTTCGTGCCTTCACGTTGCAAATCTAGAGTGAGACAAAGTAATTAGAGTGAGACAATGTTAACATTGTCTCACTGATGAGCGAATGGGCCACTTTGCTTTCTCAAACCAGTGAGAGAACATGTACATTGTTAGGTAACTGTAGGAAAATGTGTTTTTTTATGTAAAATGTTAATTGTTAGTAAGAAATAAAAACATTTTCCAAATTTGGGCAAAATATGTTAATAAACAAGCAAACTACAACAGTTTACTTATTCTCCATAAGAATAACATGGGAATTTTAAATTTACAATTTTTTGGAATTTTCTCCGTAACCATTAGGCGCATTATAACGCTTCAATATACTAAATTATTTGTTTTTTTAAGCTCTACAAAATAGTTTAGGAAGAAATTGCAAAATTTGATGTTTTTTGGGTCAAAAATGGGAAAAACCCATTTTTACCCCATAAAAGCCCCCATAAACCCCCGTTCCCATGGTCCGATCATGCTGGTTCGTGAACTCGTTCGAATAAATGTAGGTTTACACGTTTGTACCAAATTTCATCAAAATCGGATCATTTTTGCTCGAGTTATCGCGCTAACAGACACATATGTATATAAATATATATATTTATATATATATACTAGCTGACCCGGCGAACTTCGTATCGCCTAAGTTATAGGTTTCCCCTAAGACAGACCGATGGAAAGAAAGTACCGTTACGTTTAATTTTCAAGATGATCTCGTTCGCATCGCTCAATCACGTCCTGGTTGAAGTTCGTTCGCTACGCTCACTCACCTTTGGGTTGGAGCTCGTTCGCTACGCTCACTCACCTTTAGGTTGGAGCTCGTTCGCTGCGCTCACTTGCCTTCAGGTTAGCTCGTTCGCTACGCTAACTCGCCTCCAGGTTGAAGTTCGTTCGCTACGCTCACTCACCTTTGGGTTGGAGCTCGTTCGCTACGCTCACTCACCTTTAGGTTGGAGCTCGTTCGCTGCGCTCACTTGCCTTCAGGTTAGCTCGTTCGCTACGCTAACTCGCCTCCAGGTTGAAGTTCGTTCGCTACGCTCACTCACCTTTTGGTTGCAAATTAGCTGTTGTCATAAAATGTAAAAGAAATAATAGTGCTGCACCCTGTTGGTAATCCTTGTAACTTTAATGCTATTGAACATCATAGAACAGAACCAACTTGTTTAATTGAAACAGCTGTTAAGATTCATTAATTCCATTTCTCATAAGGTTAACATGGGAAACTCCAGAGCCACTGGGGCGGAGCCCTTTTAAGAATTTCGAAACGGGAAATAGTTTACGTCCGATTCGCATACCTACAGAATTTACACACCAAATTTCATAACGATCGGTGAAGTCGTTCCGGAGGAGTTTGCAGACAAACACTGTGACACGAGAATTTTATATATTAGATATATATATATGAATTTGAACGGATGGTGTTTTTGGCCTCTAGGGACCTCAAAACGAAAAAAAAATCGGTCCCGGGTCCAGGTCTTACCATGAGTACTACGGTAATAGCTTATTCCCTATATGGGAAATTCGCTAAAAGAGGTTAGATGTAACTTACATAACATATTTTGGAAAGTTATGTATAACTGAATTTTGAATATTACGTTGTATGTATTTATTGAACAAATACATATTATTCAATACCTATCTCGTTAGGGCCTAAATATTTGCAACGTTTTCCCAAATTAAATATGTTATGATAGTGGAGTAGCTGGATTTGCTTGTACAGTATACTACTTTAAAGTTTTATTGCAATGTTTTATTTCACTTGACCGGCCGACGGCCGACCTTTGGGACTCTAATGATGACTCATGGCAATGACTTCAAATATGTACAAGTTGACGTGTCGCCCCTCCCCACCTACCACCAACCCTTACCCCAATCACTCCTTTCTCCCACGGCAGTCTCAGCTCAGCTTCTCAGCTGTCAGCTTAGTTTGATCACAGAAAACATACTACTATAACCCAGAATGCTAACCGCATGGTAAAAAGCGTTAAGTACTCGGAGAGAGCTTTGCCTGTAAATTCGTAAGCAGCGCCACCAGCGTTGCTATGCTGGTGCATTGGTATGCTTGTGGCGCTGCCTACGAATTGACAGGCAAAGCTCTCTCCGAGTACTTAATGCTTTTTACCATGCGGTTAGCATTCTGTGTTATCATAGTAGGCTATGTTTTCTGTGGTTTGATGAGTGATTACAAGTTATTTATGTGAATATTGTGTCAGAGTACATTCAATTGCACTGTATTAGTTAATAACATATATAGCCTCTAGTAGGCCTACTTTTTATAGATTTTAATATTTTTTTTACATTAATTGTATAGATTTAACTAGGTCTATCAACAATTAAAAAATATTTTCATAAAAAATTTAAGTGATTTAAATATATTATTCCTGAATCTAGCAATTTTGTAAGGCGGTACCTATCGCTTAGGTGTCGGTTGTTGGGAATGGGAATTAAAACGCAGATAGCGACGCAACTTTGTATAACGAACATCACTTATTATGTGTTTTGGGGGGGGGGGGGCCCTGACGACATCCCGCCCTGGGCTCCAATAAACCACGCAACAGTCCTGTATTGGAGTCACACTATTAGTAAGGCTTATTTAAATTCACCAACAAATTTTTCAACAAGTTACTTAGCTATTTACCAACAATTTTAGTTATTTTACCAACAATAATATCCTGATTTTATCTGGCCCACTGGTATACTAATCGGCAATTTTTTTTCCTCCACGTTCTTCTAGGCCTAGGCCTATATAAGTAGCTCTACTGACGATACTCAAGACTGTGATTTTTTTAGTGGAATCAGTGCGAACTGACTTGAAGAAATAAACATGGATGGCACTAAAGACAAAGTAAGTCAACTGCCTTCAAATTTGAGTTTTTGTATGCTTACACTTTTTTCCTCAAGCGCCACTCTCACTACATTGGGGAGAAAGCTGGTCTAGTGGTTAGAGCAAAGGACTCCGGTCCCTGGGGTCCCAGGTTCAAATCCTGCCAAATCACCAATGGATTTGATCTAAGTGATAATGCCGTAACCCCTAGGTCTAGCCTGAAGTAATGTGAACAACAATTCCGGGCTTGTACCTAGCTTCTTAAGACACAAAAAAAAAAACTACTAAGTTACATTAACTTAGTTTAGTATGAGCTCAGCTTTGGTGGGGAACGTTATAATCGTTGCCAGGCTGTAGCTTAGAATGCAAGCTTTATTTTGGTGTAGGTTGGTACTGAAAATTGCCCTAAAAACCTGCCTGGCAATGCTTTTGTCCCGGTATCGGGATTTTCTCTCTTCGAGCTATATTACAAAGACACTGGTTACGGATGCAGGCAGTGCTGCTACCTTTGGGTGTTTCAGTGAACTAGGTCTACGTCCACTCTCGAGGTAACGCCTCAGCACAATCACCATATTTAATGCCAATTACCGGTAGCTGATACAGTGGCGTGCCGGGGCTTCGCCTGGACCTCGCCGCCATTGGCGAGCGCCTGTTTAGAGGTTTTCAGCACTCAACGTGTTAATGTAATTTTAACTAAGCTTAAGATAACAGTGACTTAAATTAAAGACTGAATGACAGTGTACAATAACCACATACCGGTAAGGTCCTATAACTGTTACCAATAAGTTAACTTAGGCCTAACAGTTTGATCATATAGGTCTAATATGCCCACAAGATAGCCTAGCCTAGTCTACCTAATAAGTAGCTGCACTTTAGTATCTGTCCTACACTCATTCGAATGAAAAATATCGATATATTGATTAGGCTATTTCATTTGGTTAGTTAGGTTAGGTTATTGATATCTTATTGAATGAAATAACCTACTCGATACAGGCCAATTGATCAATATATTCATTTGAATTAGTGTAGGACAGATAGGCCTACTAAAATGCAGCCTAATATGCTAAGTTACCTAATGACTTATGTTGGGTTGGGACTAAGTTAACTTAGCCAACATCATGCACTAGGCCTAGGCCTAGGCTAGCTTAAAAGGAACACTTATCTTAATGGTGCACGTAGGTCTAATTTGCATATAAATATTATGTAAGACTGATAAATATTAAAACTTAACTTGAATTCCAAACTAGAAACAAAAACTCACCACCAGCACATCAGACTAGACAGAGGAGGACTGAGGTGCCACAATGTTTCTACTTCAGAAAATTGAGCATACAGTCATCATTCCTACTCATCATCAACAACAAACAAGTCTCTTCCCCCCAGTGTAGTGTAAATAAACAACTTGCTTGATAGTCCGGTAATTAAAGAGAAATATATAGCGGAGGTTCAACAAAATTGATTCAAAAGGTTTTTTAACGGATTTCATTAGTTTTATAGGTTTTATACCTCCACACAACACAAAAAAAAGTCTACCAAAATCTGACTTGGGGAAGTACCTGAATTATGGTATTTAAATTAAAATAATAATTTCTCCATGAAAAAAAATAGATAAAAATATTGTTGCTATATATAGGTTGTAGTATATCGTTTTTAATGTTTTGAAGGGTGGGGAAACTAAATATGCAACTTAAAATGTGATTTGACGTCAATTGACACCACAAAATGGCCGCCAAAATAGATTCATGGGGAAAAAACTAAAATAAAACTTACTTTTAGATATAGGGTGTAGTATATTGAATTCGATGTTTACAAGGGTGGCAAAACCAAAAATGCAACTTAAAATATGATTGTATAAAATATAAGGTCATAAGAAGAAATCACAAAAATACGCCCCATGGGGAGAAAAGTTAAAAAAAACTTGCCTTTACAAGTTGTAGTAAGGCGATTTTAGCTTTTACAAATGCTAGTAAACTAAATATGCAACTTAAAATAAGATTTTACATCATGAGACGGTGGCGTAAGATGTGATACCGGGGCACATGGATTATTTTTACATAGGGAATAATAATGGTATTTTAAAATATTAATAAATCAAATTCAATGAACACACGTTTGAAAAGGGAAAAAGGGTACTTGGTCCTAAACCTTAGACGCTCATACTCTTCATACACGCTCGTTGCGGATGTAGTACCAAATAGAGGCCCTATGGAATAGGAAAACTATCCGTTATGAACAAATACCATGATCTCAAGGAATTCACTGCATTGACATGTGGTCAGTGTAAAGGGGTCACATGCACAAATGGGCAAACCCTTGATTTCAATGAAAATAAGTAACAGAGTAATTTCTTTCATAGTAACAATCTCTAAAAAGGTGACAAATGATAGATATGTGGGACTATTGTTTAACACTTTAGTCAGTTTTAACAGTATTTTATTAGCAGTATGAATTCTCGGCTGTATTTATATTAAAAAGTGTGTTCATTGAAATCGAATTATTTCTACACTATTATACCATTATTTTAATACAGTATCCTATGTAAAAATAATTCATGTGCCCCGGTACCCCGTCTTACCGTCTCATAATGTAAAATCTCATTTTAAGTTGCATATTAGTTTACTGGTATTTTATAAAAGTTAAGATTGAAAACTAAAACCTAGTTCCAAAGATAGGCTATTTCAAGAGACGTTTCTGTAATTTATTTTCCGTAAATTTAATAATAGTGGAAGAATATTAGGAAAATCTACCTAACAAATTAAGACTAAGTGGAAACTTTGCACAGTTGTTTAGTAAGCCTAAATAAATAAAATTTCAAAAGTCCCCATAAATCCCTGCTGTGCTTCAGCCGCCATCTTGGAAAATGGTGGCCAATTTTCACTTTTTTGACAATATTATTTCACAAACTATTGGTATTAGAGAATTTTTGTAAACACAAAAGTTAAAGAACGTCTAAAGATGCATCTTTTTATATTACAAGGTTTGCTCTATCTCTAATGGTTATTGAGATAAATAATAAAAGTTAGTATTAAATAAAAAATTCCCATGTTATTCTTATGGAAGAAAATAAATTTGTTGCAGTTTGCTTATTTATGGATATATTTTTATCAAACTTGGCAAATTTATTTATTTTATACTAAGCTATTAATATTTAACATAAATATACACTTTAGTACCCTCCCTATAGCAGTAAACCTATTACTCGTTAAATTTAAAGTTATTTAAATAGGGAATCTATCTTACATTTTTAGGATATAGTTTTAGCAAATGGATATTCATTTTTCAATCATATTAACAATGTTAATCATTTTTCTTATTGGTATTACGATTTAAAGCCCACTTACTTTTTTGTCACTATCATGTAACTACTAAAAACTTAAGTGGTACCTACGTTATTACTCCCGGTATATTTTTTGTCGGTAAATATTAGGAAATTGAACCTTAAAATCCGGACTAAATTGAAATTTTGCACAGTTAAGTACAGTGAGACTAGTTGAAAATACCGGCTGTGCCTCAGCCACATTAAGTCCGGATTTTAAGGCTGAATTTCCTAATATTAACCGTCAACATAATTATACCGGGAGTAATAAGTAGGCCTACCATGTAAGTAGTTACATAGTAGTGAAAATATAGTGAGTGAGCTTTAAACTTACTAATATTAATAAGGGAAAACTATTGTTAAAAAAAATAAATTTCCATTTGCCGGACTGGATCATTACTAAAATATATCCTAAAAATTTAAGATAGATTCCCTATTTAAATAACTTTAAATTTAACGAGTACTAGGTTTACTGCTATAGGGAGGGTACTAAAGTGTATATTTATGTTAAATATTAATAGCTTATTATATAATAAATAAATTTGCCAAGTTTGATAAAATTATATCCATAAATAAGCAAACTGCAACAATTTTATTTTCCTCCATAAGAATAACATGGGAATTTTTTATTTAATACTAACTTTTATTATTTATCTCAATAAACATTAGATATAGAGCAAACCTTGTAATATAAAAAAGATGTATTTTTAGACGTTCTTTAACTTTTGTATTTACAAAAATTCTCTAATACCAATAGTTTGTGAAATATTGTCAAAAAAGTGAAAACTGGCCGCCATTTTCCAAGATGGCGGCTGAAGCACAGCAGGGATTTATGGGGACTTTTGAAATTTTATTTATTTAGGCTTACTAAACAACTGTGCAAAGTTTCCACTTAGTCCGAATTTGTTAGGTCGAATGGCTTTATTATTCCTAAAATTCTTGGACTATAACACGTACAATGCTGATCAAGAAGTTATTTATTTCTAAAGGTAAGTTTTTCAACTTTCCTTCATGGGGCGTATTTTGGTGACTTCCATCTTATGCTTTTAAATTATATACAATCATATATTAAGTTGTATAATTGGTTTTGCCACCCTTGTGAACATTAAATTCGATATACTGCACCCTATATCTAAATGTGAGTTTTATTTTAGTTTTTCTTCCTTGGAAAATATTTTGGCGGCAATTTTGTGGTGTCAAATGACGTCAAATCACATTTTAAGTTGCATTTTTAGTTTCCACACCCTTCAAAACATTAAAAACGATATACTACACCCTATATATAGCTAAAATATTTTTATCTGTTTTTTTTTCACGGAGCAATTATTATTTTAATTTAAATACCATAATTCAGTTACTTCCCCAAGTCAGATTTTGGTAGACTTTTTTTTGTGTTGTGTGGAGGTATAAAACTAATGAAATCCGTTGAAAAACCTTTTGAATTAATTTTGTTGAACCTCCACTACTCAATGACTGGACTATGAGCCTAATGATTAGATTGACCAACGAAGAACGAACGGGCAACGCTCAATCGTCTGCGGGCCTGCGGCTTGCGGCAATAATAATTTTAATAATTAATTAACTGTCAATAGTGTCAATGTCATGTGATGAGGAGATGTCAGCTGTCGCTGTAACTGTCACGGACAGGAGGCAGGAGGGACTGGTTAGTCATATGACCACTGAGCTATAATCTATTTATCTCAATTATTCTCAATGCATAATGACCATTGACTCATCAGTCATCAGAGTGATGTTACCGTGATTTAAAAATATCGGTGACTTCGTTCCAGTGACAGAGAAATATCGGTGACAGCTTTGACCGCACTGGTTTGTCACTGCTGGGGCCTGTCGGCCTGTGGCGATATGTACTCTTTACTTGACGATTTAGAATCAGCTGTTTGTCACTGAATTTTAAATCTTTTGGTCAATTGTTGTAGGTACCAGTACCACAGTTTCTGTGCCAGTACCTTTGGGCTTTTTAAAGGAATATCTACTTGTTTGTCCAAAATAATGTCTTCTCATAAATAAAAACACCACAATTTATGTAAATGCAGAAACATACATTCTCAAAACTCTTAATTTTATTTCTACCTTATGTTGTTATTATTATTGTCTTTAAACAGAAGTCCGACATGCCACACCTCGTCAAACTCACTCACTCTTTGTACCTTCTAAAATCATATCTGACCAATCGATCTTTTCAAATAAAATTCGAAAATTCGTTATCTGATCTGAAGCCGACAAAGTCTGGAGTACCTCAGGGGAGTGTTCTTGGTCCCTTGCTATATTTGATATATACAGCAGACATCCCTATGGTCCCCAACGTCACAGTTGCTACGTTTGCTGATGACACCGCACTGTTGTCGAGTCATGTGGACCCTCAAGTCGCTTACATAAATCTACAAGCTGCCTTGACTGAACTCCAGTATTGGCTTAAAAAGTGGAGGATATAAGTCAACGAAAACAAGTCCAAACATATTGTTTTTACTCTGAGAACAGGGTATAATCCTCCAGTAACCATTAATAATGTGGCCTTAACGGAGGCATACAGTGTAAAATATTTAGGTCTAACTCTTGACAAAAAATTAAATTGGAAATCTCATATCTGGTACAAGAGACAGCAAATGGAATTAAAACTTCGTAAACTCAATTGGCTACTAGGTACAAATTCAAAACTATCATTGGCTAACAAAATTTTACTGTATAAAGTTATGATCAAACCAATTTGGACATACGGAATTCAACTTTGGGGGACCTCGAGCAAATCCAACATCGAAATTCTTGAACGATTTCAGGCTAAGGCACTGAGAAGAATTATTGGCGCACCCTGGTTCGTATCCAACACTACAATTAGGAATGACTTCAAAATTAAATCAGTGAAAGAAGAAATTACAGACCTTAGCAAAAATTATCAAGAAAAATTAGAATATCATCGAACAGTCTTGCTGTTAATCTGCTGGACAATAGTCAGTGCATTACCAGGTTAAAAAGTGTTGTGCATGTGCTGGACCTAAGCTACAGATTTCTGTAAATGTTTTTAAAAATGACTAATCCAATTTTTGGCAAGACTTGTTGATGAACAGGTGCTTGCTTCCTGACATTGTTTGATATATGTTTTACTTATTGTTCTCATATTTGAAGTTTGAACAGATTGTAAAATAAATTCTGATAAAAAAAAAAAAAT